TCCAGGGGCAATCAGTTAATTCTTTCTTTAAATGTATTTTTAATAGATTATTTATCTGACGTACTTAATAAATAAACAAGTTCAATATAATTACCTCTGTTATTAGATCCAATATATTCCGTATGCCCTCTAAATGCCAATTCTTGCTTTGATAAAAACATATAACATCTATTTATTTAGATATAATATATCTATTAACCGTAACTATCTCGTTATAATTTTCAATATTTATTTTATATTATTTATTAATGTTAAATTCTATTCCGCTTCGATTTCCAAATTGCTTCAAATAGCCATGTCTTTTGCCAGCTAAATTGTCAAAGCCATTCTTATTCCACATACTAATTTCATTTGAAAATAGCAGGCAAGCCAGCAAAACAATTCTTGCATTTTTATGCATTTACAGAGCCATTTTATCGTGAAAATGCCGAACAAATTTTTTTATTGAAGTGTTTATATTTAACTTAGGCATTGGCCTTTCTCTTTTAATAAAGTTTTCTTTTTCATTATATGATCTTGAGCCAAAACTTTTTAAAATAAATTTTCAATATCGCAATTACATTCTGAATCGCCAGCCACGATATAAGGGTTAAAATTAAAAATAAAATTATAAAAATTTACTCGGTGAAATAAAATGTGTGGTGGATATACATACCTGGTACAAATCATTCTTCAATTGTACGAATATACTTTTAAAGAAAATTATAATTGAATATAGCATTGTAATGAAACGTACATAAAAATAACATAAAATATTCTTTACTCTTTAAATCTTAACCACTTACTTGTTAGTCAAATAGCTCCCTACGAGTCAGAGACGGTCCTGCTACGTGTGCAGTGAATACATGCACGCAGGCTGCCAAATCCCGAGGGTGCCCATAGTGGTCAATGTCATATGCCTGTTTATTCGCATCACTAGTATATCTCAAAAGACGCGACAGGGTTTTTGTAAATTTTAAACGTTTCTCGCCATAGCTATAAAAGTCTAAATATGTTAAACTTAATAGATTGTCCGTCGTTTGTTTTCTAACTAATTCGTTTTAGGACCAGGTGTTGTCCACGGAAATTTCCAAAATTTACAACTTTTCGGTCACTCTCGTTGAACTGGAAAAATTTGTCTTTATTACATCTAATATTTCGAAGAAATCAGTCCCACTGTACTCGGCTAGAGATTGGTTCGGTTAAGCTTTTGTTTAAGTAAAATTTCGGCTCTTTCGTCAGGGTTTATGTCCCCAATTCCCTAATCGCTTAATTATTTAACTACTTCTTAAGTAGAAATAAGTCGAAACCAGTTACTTTGTACTCGAATATTTGTACTCTCGGGAAAAGTGGAAAGACAAATTTTTATGACAAACGGATACATAAATCGTAAATTTAAGGAAAATAAATTCTAGAGCTTTTTCTGTACCTCGTGCATCTCTCTCGTTCGATAAATTTAGTTGTAAATTATGCTAAGAAAGTAACAGTTAGTTTTTTAACATTATACAAGAATTGTACACGTTTTTTTCTATATTCCCTTAAAAGATGGGACATACGAAATCGTAATATCACTGGTTTAACATTGAAATCTGTGAGTAATATAAAATCGGAGAGCGGAATAAATATATGAAATATTTTAACGGATTTTTTAAACTCCTGTCTATACAGAAAACTATCATAAAAACATACAGGTAAATTCTTATCGGTTGGGTTAAGTTATAAATCTACTCGTGATTCACGTAATCGGGGGAGCAGCCAAATATCTAGCGGGCGGGCGGCTAACAGCCCGGAACCGGTCCTGGATAGAATTGGATGCGTTATACGTGTAGCAGCCACCCAAGGTCCTAGGCTTCCACCGGCTAAATTGGGTGAGGTTGGTGCTCTGTAAAGCGCATGTGCGAATCTGGCTTTTTGGATGCTGCCGATACAGCGTTTCCACTCCGCTACTCCGCCACCAATATTCGAATATACAATAGCGATCTTATCTTTTTCTCACGTGTAGTATAGAAATTTGTAATAAGATACATAATGCGGTTATAATAAAATATTGTGCGATTATTTTCATATAATTAAAATTAATATGTATTTATTTTTTAGAAAATACAAGGGAAGCGGCGCATCCACCGCTTCTAATGACGGCACGCCACTGGTAAAATCAGAGTTTAAAGTGGTAAGTGTAGTACTTACTTGACCCTCAATTTAAAAATATTTTTATAATCTAAGTATAAGCCAGGTCTTGAATGGCTTTATTCTCAGCCATATGATTGTTTATTTATAGAGTGCTCAGGTCAGTCTGACCCATACCATACTCAGTACGTTGTTGATTTTTTCGGCCAGTGTTTTTTTTTTCTTCTTTTGCAGAATATAAGTAGTGTTCTTGTGTTTTATTATAGTTATAGATTGTTAGTGAAAAATTTTATTTCAACTTATGAAAATATCTACAATGAAAAATTGCGTTTTGATTTTTTCATGTTATGAATCACATTGTTGAAGCTAAAATCCTTCTAAAAGATAATAAGGAGCTAATAATTGTAGGAAATGGAAGAAGTATTGCGTTTTCCCATCAAAAACAGACGAAGAAAACATGTCAGTAAGTGAAAGAGACTGATATGTAGAAACTGCACCATTAGGATGTGTGCAAATTGTGCACTATATGCATCATTCTGAATAACAAAAGTATATTAACATGAACTAAACTTTTGTTCGTTAAGTTGTAGACAACAACCTTAGACACTGAAGCCGTGAGCCTGAAGAGGGATTGGAAAATTACCAATCCTAAATGCATTGTTAATTAAATAGGCGAAATAAAGTAAACTGTTTTAATCTTGTCTCTGTTAATTGCGAATACAGTAGAACCTCGATTATCCGCCCTAATTGGGGACTGGAGTTGGTCGGATAATTGAAAAGTCGGATAACCGAAAAGTANAATAGGTTAGGTTAGGTTAGAACGTGCGTCCCCACTGTTTGCTTTCTTGTCTTTGCTGGAATCGGCGATCAGCCGCCATGACAGTCTACGTATCTCGACTTGTACCAAGAAAGCAAACAGTGGGAACGCACGTTCTAACCTAACCTAACCTAGCCTATTCTAATAAATTATCATAATTATTACCATTTATATTATTAGAATAGGTTAGGTTAGGTTAGGTTAGAACGTGGGTCCCCACTGTTTGCTTTTGTTTGCTGGAATCAGCGCCGGCGCCATGACAGCCGCCGTTCGCTCGCGTCGTCACGTGATACGTCGTCTCCAAAGCGGTCCGGTTTCGAGGCTAAAAGAGGAAGAGCCGCCATGATGGTCTACGACCCTGGACATTAGCCGCCTTTATATTGATTTAATTGCCAAAAATACACAACTACTGCCAAACACTTGTCCTTCCATCATAACACTAATCCGATTTGAAAACATTGCGTTGTTAGTAAGGTACAGATTGCCAACTCTTGCTTCGTTTTCTTCCGGTCTTTTGATATGAATGGTCGCAACTTCTTAAAATGCGTGATAAGTCTTACTAAATTATATAAATACAGAAAATGAATAATTAAAATAAAAACATCTTTAAAAAAAAAATGGGCAGTACCCCACCAACTAGAATATACTCAGAGTGGCCGTGACCTTAGTACAGCGCTCTTGATGGCAACGACAGGTACTATCGACCACCATTTTACTTTGTCAAAACATTGAAGTCTACATCACGTGTTGGGCAGGATTGTCACTTTAGAATCTAATTTTTGCATCCAAATTCTAGATTGTTTCGTCTGTAATTTAGCTATTTTCTAGATTTTATTTAATTATTATAAAGAAGGTAAAATCCAGTGGCGTGCCGTAACATTTGATGATAGGGAAGCTGTGTTTCTTTAAGAAGCCGACTTCCAGGGGCAATCAGTTAATTCTTTCTTTAAATGTATTTTTAATAGATTATTTATCTAACGTACTTAATAAATAAACAAGTTCAATATAATTACCTCTGTTATTAGATCCAATATATTCCGTATGCCCTCTAAATGCCAATTCTTGCTTTGATAAAAACATATAACATCTATTTATTTAGATATAATATATCTATTAACCGTAACTATCTCGTTATAATTTTCAATATTTTTTTTANCCTTTCATGGTCGAATGAGTGTTGCCAGCTAAAACACATAAAAATAATATTAAAGTAGCCAAGACATAGCCAAATATTGTAGCGCCACATCACTAGCGGACATTTGAAATTTGCCGACTAGGACGGTCGGTTGATCGGGGGGCGGATAATCGAGGTTCTACTGTAATAATAAAAAACGTGATAAATATCACTAGCCTCACGCTAATGATATTTATCACGTTTTTCTTAATTTAGTTCTTTATTAAACTATTATTTCTTTGTTTTACGTTTCTTTATTAGAAGAAATATTTACTTTTCACTTTTTGTATTTTTAATTATTATCTAATCGCAAAAAGCTTAACTTTGAGGGTAGTGATGAAAATTTTATATTTAAAAAAAAAATGTAAATGTTAATAACGAATAACATCTGCATTAAGTCCTATTTCTTTCGATATATGACTTCTACCCCACCCCTTAGGCCAGATGGTCGAGCGGTCAAGGTGGCAGCCTACCGCTCTGAGGGACCCGGGATCGAATCCGGACGGGTCAAGAAATCCCCAGGAATTTTTCGGGGGTGGTCCCTCACCACCTCGGTCGCTCCATTGTGGGCCTGGCCGAACTCATAATGGGCCTGCTATAAGAGGCTTTCTTAGTGCCCACAGGGCGGAAAGAGTATAAAAAATACCATCCCTTTAACCATCAAAATTTATAATAGTGAGGTTGCAGCCGAAGTTTTCATCTCTAAAATGTGAAAGTCGTGCTGGACGCACGACGTCCACATTTTAGAGATAAAAACTTCGGCCGCTACCTCGCTATTAACATCAATGTTCCTTACACAAGCTCTCATGCTAAATTTCGTTTCTTATAGATGCCAACACACATACGCGGAATACTTTTTTCATTAGCGAGATTGAGGCCGAAGTTTTAAACGCGAAAACGTGTACGTCCGACGTTCAGCGCCGCTTTCCTGTAAGCCTAGAAGTTTGACAATGGTGTTTGGAAAGTCAGTGGAATCGAGCATGTTTACAGGATGAAAAGTGTTTAAAAAAGATCAGTAATATATTTAATTGTATATATATCAAAATTAAATAATAATAATACTGTAATAATAATAATAGAAAAAATCCTCTACCATTGATATAAAGATACCGTACAGTACATCAGTTTTATAAGCGGAAGTAAAAGAAAGAAGTAATTTTTCATCACCAGAGGGCGACAAGATATTAGACGTAATGGAAGCGCGTTTGGATTATATTACGTAGATTTGAAGTTTAAAACTATTATTGTATAAGAGGATAGAGTGCAGAACTTTCAAATAAACCGGAGGAATAAGAAGAAAAAGAAGTTATTATGGAAGACGATAACTTAGACTATGTTACCGCATGCGTTGACGAGATAGCTTTAGAAGGTTTGGATGGAATTACTCTCACAGTTTTATGGTTACGTTTAGAGAAAAGGCCTCATTTTCCCTTACCTTTGGATGAAGATTCTAAAGCATTCATCTGGGAGGTCATATCCCAGCATCCTGATATAGAGTTTTATGAGCTGCCAGAACCACGAAAACAGTTCACTTTATTCAATCGTTACGATTATTTAGATTTGGATATTGGAATTGTTTTTGAACCAGAAAATGTTCCAGATGATATTTATCCATACAAAGCAATTGATGAAAAAGACGTTAGAGGTTCTTGTAGCACTTTTACCACAAGGAAAAATATTACTAGTGAAATCAGAGACGATGATCGTGGGTTATTAACATATGAGGAAGCAGTTGAAAGGTGGCATGATAAGCTTGTATTGGTAGCTTCTCAGGAGCAGAGAAATTTAGCATTATTAGGTACGGAAGTCAACCCTCATTTAAAACTCAATATAATTCAGTATTGCATGATTGAACGAATCGGGAGATCACGCTATCACGGTGAAGTGACGCAAGGAAAGAATGGGTTGACTGTACTCGGTGAGTGTTCGAAAACTTTATACTATTATCGTAAAATGTTGTTGGAAAAGCATTTGATAACAAAGCAAGTCCATTATGAAAGGAATTGCAAAGGACAGACGACGGTTGGTAGTTTGCTACACTTAAAAAGATTTTATGTGGAAAGAAAATCAAAGATCCAGATTATTTTACAAAAGATGTCAGAATTATTATATGAAAAACCCAAACAGAGAGAAATCTTTCATAAACTTCGTAGTGAGCTGGGTGTAAAGGAAACTACTTTTAAAAAAGTCTTCCAAAAAACTTTTAATCAGTATTTTAAATTAGATATTGTACCATATCGACAAATTTACCCGAATGCAACCGATAAAGAAGCAAAGTCACAAAATGGAAATGAAAAAATATTGAAAATTGTGGAACTGATAAAACCATACGATCAAAGTGAAGATGATGACAATGATAAAGAAACAAGTAATTTAAATGAAACTTTTTTCAATCCAAAAAATTTCATGATTGATAGACCACTCTTGTCTCAAGTGTTTAATGTTATAAAAAGTGAAGGTCCAAAAGGAATTTCTGCTCAAGAGATTGGGAGGACAATGGGTATTCCTAAATTAGAAATGAGACTGTTATGTCGTAATTTGGAAAGAAGAGAAGTAGTATCCACCTATATGCAAGATGTTGGACGACAGCGTGTAACAAAATACATTGCCAAAGAATACGAAAAAGATAGTGAAATTCATAAAAAGATATTAATTGAAAGAAAGAGAATATTAGATCTTTCTTCTAAGAATGAAGAAAATTCGGATATGGATACAAATAATTATCAGGTATGTGACGTATCTCAAACTCCTGAAAATAATGAATTATCTTTTGTCAGCATTGAACCTGAAAAAGATGATATTGATAATAAAAAGAAACAAAATGTTGCTATTGCAAGCAGTTTTACAGAAGATTTAAAACAAATGTATAGTGAGAAAAATAAAAAAGAAACTTCACATATTACATACAGAATTTTAAAGAGAGCTGGTATTATTATTGAAACTGTAAAAAGAATGAAAATGGTAGATGACATATATCAAATTCAAAAGTTAATATATGAAAGTGAAATGAAAGAAGGTTACAATAAAAAAGTTCATAAAAAATCTGTGCTGCGACTAATACATAAACTTGCCAAAGATGGGTATGTAAGATCTATTAAAACTATTTTGAAGTTAGGTGATAATGTCAAAAAACTTCATTTTGTATGCATACCAAGTATTACAGTTAATGATCCGTCTGTAAAAATTGCAATTGAGCAAGCTAAATTTAAATATTTTGCTAGTAAAGAAATGATAAAACCTACACAATTGAAAAATGATAAACAAAGTAAGCAAATTGATTCTATTGGTCAAAGTATACAAGAATTACAACAATTACAGCAAAAACCATCAGAAAAAATAAAAATGCGGTATATGCCATCCATTGGTAGAACCTATGGATTAGAACCTAAATTTATTCGGATGAAATCATTGTACACACTGCTATTTTATCTTGTTTATGATTATCAAGGAAATTTTTCTACAAATATTGATGGACCTCCAATATATCATGATGAAATTGGATGGAAAATGTTTATTCCTCCACTTCGTCAGCACTGTGGAATTCCTGAAGGGTGGTGTTTAATCAGTGATGTTCTTCTTAGTTTACCTCTTTCTTTGCTAGTGAAAATAGTAAATATTACATATAAAGTAGAAGGATTAGAAACATTTTTGAAAGATCCCATAAAACAACATTATCTCTTAAGAGATCTGCCACCAGAAATTCGAAGTGCATTGATGTATAATAGACGCTATATTTTTAGTGTGTGTGAAATTGCTACAAAGTTAAGTTTCATGAATCTTGTCTCATTTGGACCACAACAAACTAAAGAAAAAGATCATAGTTTTCTCTATGTACATAGATATGCATCAATTAAAGATACAACTATCTCAAAAACAGGATATTTATATATAAGTGATGATATGGACTATAGTATAAGAAAATATTATTTAAAAACATTAGAAGATGTGGAATCATATTGGTTACACTTGGAAACTGTTTGCTTGCATACTCCTCTGGGATATTATAATACAGCTCGTGGTCAAAGTATTAACATTGAAAACATTTACCGTAAACCCATGATGATAGAAGCATGCAGAAATAAAGAATTTTCTGAAATAGTAGATGATGGAAGTTTATTAGGTGATGGACGAGGAGCTGCAGGTCTTGATTCCGGTTTTTTTGCTCATTTAAAACGCAATTGGTCTTGGCCATCCATGCAGCATCATTTGCATCATAATATTGAAAAATTATGTCAGAAGGACACAGATGTCAATCTTACTGCAAACACAAATTATATGCAGTATTTACTTCATGGAAGTGATTCTTCTTCACAAAAGGTATCAGAGAGACGATTTTTTCGGTTAAAAAATATAAAACGCAAAATGTCTGAAACAGTTGAAAATGATGCTAAATCAGTTACTAAAAATGAACTTAAAGAAAAAAATATGAAAAGGAAACAACCAGTTAATCAGTCAGTTCCATATGCAAGAAAACGTTCTAAACCAGATAAAATTATTCGAAATGTTACTAGGATATTAAAGAGGAAGCGTAAACCATATTATGATGACAAAGATAAAGATGCATTAAAGAAAATGTCAAAATTGAGAGTTTTATGGACTGCACAAGAAGATAGTATTTTATTAATGTGCAAAGTAGCTTCCTATTTGTTAGATCCAAATTATAATAGAATGGTCGTACCTTATACTTGTGTGCGTGATGTATTACATGAAAAATTGCCAAATTTGTCTAATAATAAAACATCACGTGCTTGTCAAAGAAGAGTTGGTTATATGCTGATGAATCCAACTACTGTTCAAAATGTCTCTGTATTTTTATGTGAAGCTCAACAAGATAAAGAATTGGTAAATTTATATCTAGGTCCTAAGCCTCCAAAAACACATGAAGAAACATGGACAAATATGTTTGTTACTTTATTAAATCAATTGTTAAAGAAATTTACACAATCATCATCTGAGCGATGTGAAAAAATTATACTTCCCAAAACAATCAAGCAGCTTCAGCAGGATTATCAAATGGTTATATCAGGAGAGCTTCCAGATTATAAATCTAAACATGAAGATGTAAAAGCTATTGCAAATATACAGGAAAGTGTTGTTCATTCATTAATTATGTCATCACTGTGGACATCAGGAGATAAACACAACTGGAACTATGTTTTATATAAATTATATCAACAGTATCCAATGCAAATGTTGCAAAATGCAGTTACTTGTATTCGTCAAAATCAAATTGCTACTAAAAAGAAATGTTTTAGTAAAAAAAGTTATAGTAATCTTCCTCTTTCCACTATACCATACCGACTCTCTGTGAATTATTATAATTCTTTAAGGACTCCCTTTCAAGTAGAAATTTATCATGAAGTTTATTCATTATTGGATAAATTAATAAATAAAGATAAATCATCAATTGGAGTTAATGTTTATACTAATGTGATTTCAGGTTATTCTGCTGCAGTTGTTTCATTAATGGCTAAATTTTTGTTAACTTTTGAACTGCATATACCAAACCAAATTATTTTATTGGATACCAGTTTAAGTGATAGACAGCGTTCTGAAGTAGCAAAGAAAATGAAAGAAATGGAATCTACAGAATACATGAATAATGACAATCAAGTAAAATCTAATGTACTTAGTGAAAATTCAGATATCTTGGATGAACCTCCTCAAAAGAAAAGAATGTTAGATAATGATGTGGAACAGAATCAAAGTGATGATCATGATTATTCATCATTACCAAAAACTGATAATGATACAAATTTAAATAGTAATGTTTCTTTTGAAGTATCATCTTCAACAAAAGCTTCAAGACTTGCTCTCTTCATGCTACGTCAGTCTGAAGATAATAAACAAAAAAATAAGATATTACATTCCCAAGATTATTTTGTAATAAATTCCTGTAGTGTTTTTTGCCGACTTCGTAATGAAAACAGTCAATTTTTGAAATCTAATATAATTTACGATATTATCAATTCTCAGCGAAAATATCTACCAATAAACGAAATTCCATCTTTTAAAATTCTGTCTGATTCTTCAGAATTTGACGTGAATGAGAAAGAATTTGGAAGAAAAATATTTGATACCATTAATGAACAAAAAGAGTTAGGTATTACAGAAGATATGTTAGAAAATTTTCAGCATTTGGATGAAACAGGAAAATTAGAAAAAATATTCAATTTTATGTTGGAAAATTGGATAATTATCAGAGTTGGTACTTCTTGTTTCAGATATGTATCTTATCAATATTCAAAACCTTGGATTCTTTCTTCTTTAAAAATTCCAAAAGAAAATAAATTACTTTGTCAAATAGAATATTTAGAAAAAACGGCTTCAGATAATGCAAATTTGGACACTGATAATTCTTCCAATAAAATATCTGATGTTGAAAAGACACCTGCAATATCAAGCAAAAAAGATGAAGAAAAAATTCAAGCTAATGATTCTGTTGCATTAAATTTAAGTATTAGTTCAACAGAAGAAAATCAGTCGTCAGAGATTATTGAAACAATACCCAAAGACGCCAGTATTGAAAATAATAGTACATCCAGTAGTGTTTCAAGTGAAAGAGGAAAACATACTTGTAAACAACAATCAGATTTTTCATACAAATCTGTTTTACCTGAGAAGAAACTTTGGGAAAATGTGCAGTTTATTGGTAGAACATGGAGAAAACCAGATGGTTCATTGAATCATTCAACTCTCAACAAATTGTTAAGTTCTGTTCTTGGTCATATAATGGCTAATCCAGGTATTACTGTACCACAACTTTGCAAATATTTTAAGCTCTCATTATTTCCTGTTGAAGTACTTGAATTATTAGAGATACTTGAAAAGGCAGAATGCATACAACGTTATTATTTAAAACCATCCCATTCTGTAACATTATTTTCTAAACCTATTGACTATACATTAACAGAAAAAAAGAATTTGCACAGCAAATGTCATATTGAAATTATCCCTGATGCCATTATCAAATTCAGTCAGTTATCTGAAATGCTTTTAAACAAAAGAGGATTAAAGAATGTAAAATATAATTGATAATGTGCCAGTTGTTTGGTATATTATCAAATATTTCAATAGTTGTTTAATGCAATCTTAAAATAATTTTTTTTGTATTAATGTGCATGTATAATATCAATAGATGAATGTTTTTTGTATGTGATAAAAATTAAATAGTAGATAAAAATCTTAGTCGTTTTTAAATCTATGCCTTTTGTTTTCAAATATGAAATGAAACTGAAAATAAGGGAGCATTCTAATTATTAAATACATATTTAAAGTAACGAATAAACAAAATTTAATCTAAAATAATTTTTTTTTAATTTGTATATTGCAACCAAAGAATGAATTTTCCCAATAAAAAGTTCTAAATTTAATTTTTTTGAAATCGGAAGTACAGTCGACCCTCCTTATAACATGGGTTCCTATAGTTCGGATTCCTATATCACGACGAAAAAATTGCGACAGTATTCGTACAAACATACTAAAAAACTAATTCGGTGAAACGTCATCGCCGACTCGTATCGCGACAGGATTGCACAAACCGTTGAGTTTAAACGAGCAGCGGACCTACCAAAAACCATTTATTATTTAATGTCCATAAAAATTATATTAATGATGTCTCCAAAGTTCAGCGAATTTTTCGCAAAAAAAATAATTTATCAGGAAGCACGCGAGGTCCATTCGATGGAGCTCGCGTGCTTCCTGATAAATTATTTCTCCACGACGAAAACAAGCTTAAGCAGCGGCGTAGTCGAACGGTGCACACTCTGTAAGTAATCCTACAATTTTTTGTTTATAGCATAGTTTATATGGTTTATTCCCAAAAAATTATACGTATTTTGGAAATGTTGAGTAGAATTAGTCTAGAATCGATCAATTTTATGGAAGAAACCTTTCAAACAGCCGTAGTCCGTAAACTTCACACGTGCCGGGCTGTGATTGGCTGGATTCATAAAAACAGGAACGTATTTCCGTGTTATAGGGGGGTTGGCTGTAAATATTTTTCTTCTTCTCGAACTGCACTTTGAAAAATAACTAGATTTTAACAACCTTTAACATGCAGTCTATTAACGTAATCTAACGTTTTCGGTCAATTAATTGACCTTCATCAGGATCGAACAATTTTTCGATTCATGTCGAATGAAACCTTTCATAGAACGTTTTTAACTTTTAAAAGTTTTCTCAACGCCTATTGTGCAAGTCCGAAAATAGATAAAAATAGAATCTACAGATTGAAAATGTACAAATATACGCATACACTAATTATACATATAAAACTAAAAATAATAATAAAGAAATAGATAAGTGATGATATAACGGGCACCGACTAATGCCTTTATTATCTGTACGTGCTTTTTTCTTTTGCTGGTATGTCCGTAATGCACCCACTCTATGCTGCGGAGACTTTATATGATTCTCTGAAGTTTATAGTTTGTCCTGCTAGACTGCTCTTGTGAATATGCCAGGATTCTGCATATTTAATATGTCTCCTGTCTTGAACCTTATGTATTATTTCTGCTCTTTCCCATTTCACTGAAACCTCTGTTGGGTCTATTATAACATATATTGCTAAAGCAGTGGCGTAGCGAACATAACTGGCGCCCGAGGCACGACACTTTATTGACGCCTCCTCCCCCTCCAGAAACAAATCTTGTTTGTCTTAGAGACCATTTGGCGCCCCTTTGCGAGTGGAACCCGGGCCCCCTTGCCTCCCTCGCTACGCTAGTGGTGACTGGTTGCTCATTCTGTACTTTTCATTTGTGTTCTTTTATTTTTTTTTTGCCACCTCTCGTCTTGTACGGGTATTCTGTAAATACCAGGAATAAGGCTCTGGTTTCTTGTCCGTACATAGCATCTGGTATACTGTTGGATTCGTTTTAAAGTTTATCTTTTTGTTAGTAGCTGCTCCTATTTCTTTGTAAATGTTGGTTAAGGGTGCCATGTATTCAGAGCCGGCCCTACCATAGGGCGAAAGGAGCAGCCGCTCCAGGCGCTAAGTCCTAGGGGGCGCCTATTAAAGGGTATAAATTTGGGGCAACCAAGGGCAGTGGCGTAGCGAGGGGGTGCAAGGGGGTGTATCAAGCACCGGGCGCCACTCGCAGAGGGGCGCCCAAATGGTCTCCAAAACAAACTATATGTGTTTCTGGAGGGGGGCGCTAATAAAGTGTCGTGCTCCGAGCGTCAGTTATGTTCGCTACGCTATTGACCAAGGGGGCGCCATAATAGGATCTCGCTCCATCCTAAAACTTGCCTCGGGCCGGCACTGCATGTATTCCATTACTGTGTATTATTCTACTCTTCCCCTTTCGTTACCTTCATTATCGTTTTTTTTTTCTTGTTTTATTTATTAAGGCCTTTATTTTATTCCGATTGACTCCGACATGCCTAATTTTTATGTCTGGCCTGCACTTTGCTGCAATGTGTGGATGCTCTTTTTATAAGTGCCCTGAAAGCTGCCAGTTTATAACTTGCTGGGTCGTGGGAGTCCATGGTATTATGTTGTTGTTGTTTGTTATGTTATGGCAACGCAACACTTGGGCGATCTGCCTAGGGGGGATGCCTTCCGGGAGATCTTGTTTAAGGGAAACTGGCCCCTATTTAGGCGTTACAGACGTGGAGAAAACCCGGAAAACTCCACTTGGCCAGCCCGTCCGAGCGAGACTCGAACCCACGACCCAACTCCCACTGTTTTGGATAGAAAACCGCTCGGCCAATAGTGGGCCCCATGGTATTAGCAACGGATTATAAGTCGGCTTTCTGTAAACTGTTAAATGACCAATATTAAAAACTGTCTATTAAATGATCAATAAATATTGGTAATTTAATAGACAGCTTTTAATATGTTAATTTTTAGTACACTACTTTTTTTTAACTCTTTCCTCTCTGCGGGCACTAAGAGGGCCTCTTTTCAGCAGATCCATTATGGGTTCGGCCAGGCCCACAATGGGGCGGCCGAGTGGTGAGGAACGAGGCCTGACATATCCGGACGGACCACCCCCGAAAAATTCCTGGAGATTATTCGACCCGTTCGGATTCGATCCCGAATCTCCCAGAGCGGAAGGGCTGCCACTATAACCGCTCGGCCATTTCACACACTACTGGCGAACAGTAAGGATCGTTTCCAAAATGGATTTTTTTTTGTTAGCGAATACCGCGCAGTAAGATTGGGCTATATCCCTCTAAGAGATCGATTTGGGTCATTTTCAGCCCTAATAATGTAGACAGACACTATTGTTAAATAAATTGTGAAAAAATGTGTTAGTAATATTCAATAAGTAGTTCAAACATGTCTGTGGTGGTTGATGCACCACTTGAATGTTCGTTGATTTATAAAATAACCGAAGCTTAATATCTCACCATGAAATTTATTTACAATCACGTATAAGATTTTGTTTTACACTTATTGAGTAAAGTTCGATCGGTTACAAGCATGCGTCGGTACAGAACATTCACTTGTTGTGAGTAGTGTAGCCGAGAGAGAGAGAGAGAAGAAGAATATGGCGGACGAACTGCACGTTTTAATAGCTCCATCTGGATTTTCAGATTCAGCGCTAGGTTACATTATTCGACCGCTACAATGTCTTTTTATGAAGTATGTGATTTGGAACTCACTACTACAGTGGAAAAACGCTGCTGAACTTGAAAATATACACATCAAAAATCGCTTTAAGACGGCTATTAAAGATTTTTTCTTACTTTTCCGGCTATTATACAGTAATACCTCAACTTACGCTACCCGGACTTACGCGAACCCGGAGTTACGTGATTTTCAAATCTCGTCCATTCGTCTTTTGTTTGAGCGCCACGCAACTCTTGATTATTCACTCCCCCCACACTATTGTTCAGCTTACATGTTCGGATGTGTCGCGCGGAATCGACACACAGCTACAATTTATTTGGTGTTATTTATTTCTGTGTTTGTTATATCTACGGAGACTTGAGAGACTCTATGTGGTGATTTCTTGTAACCGTGAACGAATCAAAAGACGAGATAAGATTAACGAGATCATTTATTAGCTTACATACATCCGACTTGGATTTTACACAAATTGCGAAATTATACCCCGACTTACGCGGTTATCGCTTGGTCCCACCTATCGCGTAAGTTCGGGGTATTACTGTATATAAAACAGGAAAAGTATGGCTATCGATCAAAAACTGATGGCCCCAAGATTTTTATATTTTTGGACTGACTTCTTGAAACGTCGAGAAATGCAAAGAAAAAAAAGAAAAAACTTGAGGGTTTTCTCTATGTGTGGATATTGATGTGTGTGGGGGGGGCACGATTTTGTTCACTCGCTTTGAAGCTTAATAACCTCGTGCGCTTTCTGTCAAAAATTTCTGAAATTTTGCAAGGAAGTTTGTATATTAGGGGCATTGATGCTATTAAATTTTGGTGGTTAAAGGTCGACGGGTGGGGAGATTAAGTTCGAGATGACACACACGACTCTCTTAATGACGATTTTACTCGTTATTAACATTTACATTTTTTTTTTTTTTTTTTATAAAACTCATCCCTAACCTCAAAATTAAGCTTTTTGCTGTTTTATAATAGTTAAAAATATGAACTTTTTAAATAAAATATAACACGCAGTTTTAAATGTTTCCGGGAAAGTTAATAAACTCGTTGCTGGATTTTATTCATAATTTTCTTACACGTAAACAAATGACTTTTAAATTTAAATATTTTAATAATAAAGCATACATGTATTATCGTTATCAGACGTTTTGTACTAGATTGGATGTTGTTTTAAAACATGTTCTCTGTAAGAAAACGCTTAAAAATTTTTTCATTTCATTATTGATTCTCGTCCTGTAGGCACTAAAGGACTTTTCCATAATGGGTATAAAAAGGATCCCTAAGTTTTCTCCGGACTCCGGAAAAATCCCTAGTTCCCTCTCTCGATAGCTCTACCTTCCACGTGTTAGGCGGATATGATAAGAACTATGCCATAAACACCGTCAAACACGTTAAATAGTTATTACTCATTTTAATGTTCATTCTAGCTTTTAGCACGTCTTACAAATGGCGTAGCAAGAATTAAATAGGCCATGTACGAATAGAGTTGAGGACTTCCGAGTTAGGATTATCATATTTTATCCAAAATGAAAACTCCATTTTGACTAGAAAAAATATTCCTCCTCTATTCAAACACACCCATAACGTATTTTTCAGAA